CGTGGCTCAACAAGCAACCTTCCGATATTGGTCGTACAAAGATATCGAGAAAATCGCTGCACGAAACACTACCTTCCGAGAATTATCACAGAACCCGGATTTCCTTGGTAAAATTCAGAATCCACCTCTCAAGAGACCTACCCCTACACATATCCCTATTCGTACGCCTATGCCTAACCTTCCTCATGACCCTATTCCTGACCCTACTGTTATCTCTACGCACATGCCTTCTCCGAAGCAGCTTACAGACCTTACAAAGTTGTACACAGAGGAGATGAAATTCGGCGGCGAGAAGTATGATATTCTGGATCAAAAGCTTCAGATCTTCCGGCATAGTTGCCATAAGGCTGGAATTCCAGAATCTCAGCTCGCTGGCGCACTCTCCACGATGCTCAAGGGGAGAGCCCTAACCTTCTTTCTTAATCGAATGTGCGGCGTACAACCACAAGGCCTCGAGCCTATGATTCAACGCCTCAAGCATCACTTTGAGACTGAAGAGATGCGACAGGGTTATCTAGCTGAATGGCGCGATATAACCCTGCCACAGCTAATTCGTACGCACTCTCGTCAACCCTACGGATTATCACAGACCGGCTGAAGCTACCGGTGATCCCTATGATAGTGTGTACGGATTCATATTCCCTGTACGAGTGCCTCGTGAAGCTCGGCACCACCAAAGAGAAGCGCCTCATGATAGATATCATGGCCCTTCGTCAGTCATACGAGCGTAGAGAACTTCACGAGATCCGCTGGATCAACGGAAATGACAACCCTGCTGATGCCCTCACAAAGGCATCACCAAACCGTGCCTTAGAGCAACTCATCAGTCACAACACGCTTCGAGTCAGGATGGAAGGATGGGTCACACGAACCTAGAAAGGAAGGGAGGAATAGCTTCACTATTCAATAGATACGTACGATAGTCACTGCTTGGCGAATAGCTTCAAAAAGAAGAGATTGCCAGTGTTGGAATATCGCCGCCAAGCACACAACAAGAGCACGGATATCGTCACGTGGTCACCTTCCGGCCACCCTATTTATAAGAGCATCGTAGGCATCATATCTTGACTTGTTTTTCCCCTCTGAGATAGACCCGACTATTATTAAATATATTGTATTTGAAGCCGATGATCTAGATCATTGCACAACCCTGTGCAACCCACACATGCCTATTCATGCAATGCAATGCGTTTCGACAGCTGTGTCGTTGTTTTCATGCTCTCCTATTGGCATTGGTGCAAGATGCCACCGATTCAGAGTATGTAGTTGTCTAAGTAAACCCCTATATTATATTGTTTAGATTTAGTTATTGTTTTTCTCTGTAGTTCAATCTTGGATTTACGAGTTCTGCTCATAAATCAGTCAAATCAAATGTAGTCCGTAAGTTGAATTAATGAACAAGCCCACGGTCGATACTTGGTCCGTTTGACTTGGTTGAGACGATCTTATCAAATCTATGAGCAACTAAGCCAGGGAGCATCATTCAAGGATGAAGGCTCAACTAAACACCCAATTGCCAAGCTGTACTCCGCCATGTCGGACCCAGTTTCTCAGGAAATTGGCTGTCAAGAGAGTCTCTGCGCTCATTACCAATTCTTGCAAGGTGAGTGTTAATTCAGTTATGTTGAATTGCCTCTCGCAGTCCGTTGTCGTCGCTAGGGTGGTAAAAACATCTGATGTACGGTTAGATGAGTACTGGGGAAAAAAAGCTCGTTATCGATCAACCACTTGATAGGCCCTCGTGCGTCGTGTGCGTCGAGTCAAAGATATTCGTCAAGCTCTTCGACACCACTGTTCACAAAGGAGCTTTTTTATCCTAATGTCTACCCACTGCATCTAGTGGCTGTCCTCAAGAGCGGGGCATTGCATCGAGAACAAGGGTTTTCATCCTCCTTCTGCTGAGCTTCACGAAACCACCGCACAAATTAAATTTTCATGCCCACCTTCGCACCGCGCACCCCTGTCAACTGTGTGCCCACCAGGTCCAAGCAGCCTCGAACCAACTCACATCAAGTCTCGGGTGCAAAATCACGGCTGCTGTAAACAAAGCAGCTCAACAAGCTTGCTGTAATACTCATCTACTTTCTTCTGGCCGTTGTTGATCGCAGCAAGGATGTAGGCTCGGTGATCGGTATGCTGAGAGCTCGTTCGAGAGAACTTACATATCAATAACGCGTCTGCCTCAAGTGTCGTGCAGTCGGATTGTGAATGTCCTAGCAGGGTATCGATGTTGTATGCCGGCGTTCGGTCGAGCTGCTGGCTCTCCATTCATCTCATCCTTGGCAAGACGCACGGGCCGAAGTCGCGCTCGTATGTTTGTCTCGTATGCGGGGATGAGCGTCCAAGAAGCACACGCTTCTTTTTATTTTTGAGAAACCAAGCAATCCCCGTCCCACCACCAAGATAAAAAAAACAAAGTTAAGAATAGGTGTAATAATCATAATCCGGCACCATCAGTCAGTCCCACCTCCCAGTCCTGCCCCGTCTGGTCACCACGGGCCGTCGGCGGCTCCGCACCAGCACCCCGCCGCTTGCCCCAAGAACCCACTACTGCTACGAAGATACCATGTACGTCTAGCCTATACAAAAAGGAGACTTGTCAAATTTAACTCAAAGTGCTGGATTCGAGGGAGTGGCTGGAAGAGGCTGGTCCTCTCAGGGTCAAGGAGAGTAGAGAAAGGTGGTAACGGGAGGGCCTGCTGGAGGCGCTACCAAGAAAGCTTGATATCGATGTTTTGGGTTCTATTTATTGAATAGTAAATAAATTTTCGCTGAGGCATAATTCCAATCATGCATATATATGTTTGTGCATTTTCTTCTCTCCTCTATATACGCATATATTATGCACCGAGCATGCATACCGTATTGTAAATACGTCTTTATCATCTATACCCACGATGTGGGAGTGAAAATGGGTTACCAATGGCTAAGTAGATTCAACGAACATTTTTCAATATTGCCATGCTATTGCTTCTCTTCTCCTGTTATTTATTCCCTATTGCTATAATGCACCACAGATGGAGTAGAGTTACTCGCCTGGGTCCCTCTACGTGAGCGGGACGATACACCACAAAGATGAAAGGAAACGGCAACTTTTGAATCGCGAAGCTCTGGCTCGTCTTTGAAAGCGAAAGCGTTCGGAAACTATATTTGTCGAAGATGCAATAGCCGTGGAGCATACCCTATTACACGCCAAATACGTGAGACGCAGAGATACTGTAGGAAGCACAGGGCTTAGGCTGACGAGAGTATCGATACCGGAAGGTGAAGCAAAACAATGTGCAAAACAATTCAATTTATTCAGGTCTATCTAAGAAAGAAGAAGAAGAAGAAGAGATATGCTGCCAAGCGCGCCTTATATGAGAGAGGCGCGCTAGGGTGACCACGTGATCTTGACTAGGGATTCCAACAATAACTTACTGAGCATCCTTTTTGTTTTCGGACAATAATATTGATATCTAGACGCATTCCCGGTCAATTGAAGGGATGTCGGCGTGTAACTGAAGGCGAGCTCAGGAAAGCTGTTCAGGAAACCCCCAAAGTCACGGCGTCTAGCTTGACGAGCGCCATCAATTGCAGGAAGCTTAGAGCGAGCCGGATGGTTGAAGAACGAGAAAGTCAGACGATTTTCCCGTCCCTCGAGACACAGCTGCGTAACTGCCCGTCTGACTGTTTTCGAGATCCAGTGATTAGTTAAACCGTCGCCCCATACCCAGACTCTTAGCCTTATACTACTCTATATGTGCTACTAAGATGTAAAGGGGAGGATAGTCAGCTGTGATTAATGGCGTCAGAACAGCAAGAATTGTGGAAGGCTTTATATAACATTTTACATGCTATTAATTCCATCTGGACAAGACATCTTGGCCGAGTGGTTAAGGCGTTGCCCTGCTAAGGCAATACATTCGTGTGCGTAGGTTCGAATCCTGCAGATGTCGAATTTTCTCTTTTTTAGAATGTCTCGCATAATCTCTTCTTTAATAATTTTTTTTTGGGAGGGTTAGGCAGTCACGGGTGCAGCTAACAGGAAAGTTACTGAACATGCCTGGCCGCAATTTGAATGGAGAGGCGCTTTCTTTCTTCATTACTAAGGTTACACATGCTGCGCCATGGCATTGATCGTCGCAGCCTGTTCAAATTCATAATGCAAGAGTGTTGCTGCCCTTGAATGATTTCTTGTGGCTAAGAACATTTAGGAATGGTTCGTATCCAATGTTGGACGTTCACGAGGATACTGCGCGATTGATGGTGCAGACTCTGTCACCGAACAAACGCATGCAATGTGGGGCTGAGCGAGCTCGTTCTGTCATATAAATTTTGGTGTTTAGGGTAAGATACCTCTCTGGTTTTGACTCGTTTATTCGCGCATGGATTTAATGAACATGCCTCAGCTAGGCAAAAAGAGCTGGCTGCTGTGTGAAAAAAGAAGAGTAATAACTATGCGAAATGATAGAGATGTCTTGCCTTAATTCACGAGTCGCTTTATTGCAGAACGCTAGCCTAGTTTTCACTACCAATGAATTTAGCATTTAACGTCTTAGCCAGGCAAGATATCAGCGAGCATGGAATGTTGTAGTGATTGTATTATCCCATACATCTGATTTTTTTCTTCGGCCCTGCCTTGATAAAGCTTGATGTCTGGGAAAACCAAAAAAATTACCATCCAATTACTACTACCATCCACGTCTCCTTGCCTTTTCAGTCTGCTGCTCACCGCCACCATGCCTCTCGGGCTGAACTCTCTAGTGCCGGTCGTAGTGCTTCGAGTTCCTCATCTTGCAGTCCGTCTCTCCGCACTGCAATTCTACGGCTACTTGGGCGGCCTAGAACCTCTCGTGACTGGTTCCGCTAGCTGTGGCAATATAAACGGTAAAGTTCTGGAGCGCTGCTGAATGAAAAAGTACAGGATTCACGAATGCAATTCAATTGTATATGGAAGAGAAAAAAAAAGGGGGGGGAATGAGGTGGGCAGAATAATAAAAAAATAACCTGAGAAATAACGACATCTGCAGGATTCGAACCTACGCACACGAATGTATTGCCTTAGCAGGGCAACGCCTTAACCACTCGGCCAAGATGTCTTGGTTGTTTACCAACTGGTAATTGTTTTCGGCTATAAAATGTCCCAATATTTCTCATGTTGGTACGGACTCTGTCAATTAACTTATGGTCTCGCGCCATGCACACCCTACATGTACCATTATAAGACAATTCATCGCAACTTTTATTAACCCAGCCACGCAACGTGCCTTCTTTGACCCACCTTACTACGACTAATGGCTGGCTTTTATACAAAAACCAAACCGACTAAACTCCTTTCACACCACTAGCTTGCTCGTAGAAAAGCCGCCCAAGTCTTTCGGGAGGGACTATTAACACTAGATCGCTTACAGTCATCTATGGTTGAAGTAAGTTATGCACTATAGGACTTCATAAAATGTATCCTGTTAAAACCAGGGAAGTACAGAGTTAGTCCTTGCCTAATTGGGACGCTTGAAGATATGATTGATTTAGCCGGTTCATTTGCATTATTAGCAGACTAATCTCGCACCGGTATCCCGAAAGTAGACGCTCGGTTCATTGGCACTCATGCCCGACTGGCTCCGAGCATTCGATGGCTCCAAGTTCGTTGGCAAATCAACCAAGATGAGCAGAATTCGCCATATGAGGCAACACTACGTCTTCCGCACCGTATACTGACCGGGAGTATCTGTGGGTTGCACAGGGGTGCTGTGCAAGTTGATCTAGATCAAATGCATCAAAATACAATATATTCAATAATAGTCGGGTCTATCTAAGAGGGGAAAAACAAGTCAAGATACGATGCCTACGATGCTCGTATAAATAGGGTGGCCGAAAGGCGACCACGTGACTCGCTCCGTGCTCTTGTTGTGTGCTTGGCGGCAAGATTCCAACAGTATCTACAGGAGACTGTTGCAGTACTGGGTACGAATGTAGCACAAACGTAGCGTCTTGGCGTAGTACCCATGCCTGTGGCCGCCCGCTGACTTCAACACTGATAGATTTATTCTCCCCTGCCGCGAGCGAGGGCCCCAATCTTAATGATCAGGTTTTCGAACTCTGGTTCAGCTGTGGGTTGCACAGGGGGGGGATGTGCAAGTGATCTAGATCAAATGCTTCAAAAGCAATATATTTAATAAGTCTGTGTATGTATCTAAGAGGAAGAAAACAAGTCAAGATACGAAGCTCGATATCGTCGTATAAATAGCGTGACCAAAATGTGACCATGTGACTCGCTCCATGCTCTTTGGTGTGCTTGGCGGTAGGATTCTAACATCAGCGACGTACGGATTGCTACTTCATGACGTTGTCACACCCAAAACAAGCACGTGATAAAGGGACTAGGACGAGTGATTGAAAAGTGGCCATTGCCTGATCGAGGTACGGGCTCGTGCCGTCGTCCAATCCTGCGATCTGGTATGTGTGGCCAATATCTGCACATAGTAACTATATTGATAGATATATATATATGCCAAAACTGCCGAACTATCAAATGATCATTGTCCCATAGGATCGCAAATTCCTAGCTCAAAGAAGCAATCAGATGCAAGATACGAGGTTTCAGAGTCTGTCGCTGGCATGGAAGGCAAGAAGTCGAGGTCATAGGGGGATGAAGGTGTCTGGAAAGGTTGCCCCATGTTGGGTGTGTAGAACTGATTGACTAGTTCCGGCGGCGGTTGCCATGTTTGGCTTGTGGAGCTGGAGTTGCCGATGTAAGTTTGTACATGAGGTTGAGAGTACATGTCGAAAGTAGGGTTGAAATTATCTTGCGTCTCGTAAGTTGCAGCTGGCACATTTGGCTGTCGATGATACGGTCGCTGCTGTTGTGGATGTTGCTGTTGTTCTTGCTGCTGGTATTGCTGTTCCTCCAGTGAACGTGACTGTTGTTGGCAAGTCAGTTCTTGTGCCCGTGTATGTCGCCGTTGTTGAGAATTCCCAGTAGGCATGTCACCTATAACACTATTGCCGAGGGCTGAGTTCCATCGCGATGGCGAGTTCGAGCTAACACTAGTCGTAATACCATTGGCGTTGCTCGGCCTTCCAGGCGCCTTTCTACTGGGCGCCTTCCTACCCGGCGGGCTCGAAATAGTTTGTTGATGATCAGGAGACTGCGACGTTGAAACTGTTTCCGAAGTCCAACTCTCAATCAGTCGAGCGACCACTTTGGGATATGCCGAGCTGAAAAATGTCTGCACTTCATGCTGATGTTTTCTCAAAGCATCTGGAAGGTGCTCACGGACAATTTCTTCACCAATAGTCGGGCCCCGTAGTAGAGCATGGTTCCGAAATTCAATGAGCTCTGCTGACAACGGCCGCTCAATATACAAGCTGCACGGTAGTGGCTCGCCGGGGAAGAGTACTTTGTAAACCTCATTCCAGTTTTCTACTCCGCATTTCGACAACCTCCGCTTGCCCAGCTCCCTCTCCTGTTTGGATGTGACACCTTCCCGCTTGGCTGGTGGCTTCTTGATGCAAGAACTATCGATGATATGCACATCACGGAGTGATCCCTCCTCGAATGTGGTTGAGCGTTTCGGGCATTGCGAGAATGGCTTGTCCTCATTTGAGTCTGTTTGATTGGCGGAGGATTCCAGCAAAGTATTTCCTGAGTCGGCTTTGCTCATATCACGTGCCAAATCAAGGAGACGTGTATTAATCAGAAAGTCACGTTCCGGAAAGCCAGATTGCACATAGCTAGGTTGCAAAGAGCCAGGTACCACAGCCGTGATTGACGCGTCAGATGAACTGCCCATTTTGTGTGGTTCCAGTCCGCACAAGAGTTTAGATGTACCATCATTACACATTCTCACATGACTGCGCAGGTTATAAAAACGCCTGAACTTTTTATTGCACAAAGAACAAGTGAACGGCCGCCGGTGATCAGGACGCTTACCCATGCGCTTGGAGTGACAGCTGTCCTTGTTCTGACTTGCGGCAGATCTCTGCAAAATATGTATCGAACGAGAGTCAAAGGACGAGACAGGCGCAAAATCAGCAGCATAAAGACGTTTGGAGGAGCAATGTTTTGTAGGCTGAGGACTCGGCAACCATCTAGGACTGAACTTTTCAGATTCCAATTCCATGGCGAATGCTCGGCTCGACGGCAGAGTACTCCAGGTAGTGTCTCGAACCTCGCACAGTCAAGCAGGCGATACGTAATTAGCCACACCGATGTAAGAGTCTCAACAAAACTCAACTGCGGTTATAGAAATAAGATTGCGTGTCCGCTTGGTGAAGCATAAGAATAAGAAAGAGGTGATAACGCGAAGGTCAGCACCGTCGTCTACTGAGCAAGCGACAGAGCTAGAGGGAATTGTGAAGTACAAATCCAGAGCCAAGAGAAAACAAAGAAAAAGAATTAGGATTAATATAGGGGTGAAGAGGGGGGGGGGTTTTATAATCTGCGAAACAGCCCCGCCATAAGAGGGGTGTGCAATTTATCTCTTGGCAAGCAACCACTTACTCTATATACGCCCCAATCTAGGGGTGGTGGCGGCCCCTACCCGTTGTTGTTGTCTTTTCTGGGGAGCCGATTGGTGGGGGAAATCGCACCATCAAAGCCAATCAAGGCCAAAGAACTGGAATATTGGCTGCGGACCCTGTCGGATCGAGGGTTGCAGAATGTAGCTTGCTTGAGCACAGCGGTGCTGAGGAGCTTGGAGTTGTGCGGCATTGGTGCTTGACCAGCATTTACGAAAGAGTCTATCTTGGCCGCAGTATCTGCTGTGCTGGAGAGCTGTTCTGTTGTCCATGCATTGTATTGGGCGGCACGCGGGAGCTCGGGTCTTTGGCCTATTAAGTGTTGCGATCGCGCCGGCTTGCCACCTCCATTCGGGTTAAAGCTCACGTCCACTCAGTAATGGAGAGCCTGCCGTTGGCGGGACACACGACCAGTTGGATATCTCCTGGGGCATGCTAGCTGCATCAGCTGTGTCGAGCTGTTGCAGCGTCAATTCCAAACTCTCCAACTCCAACACCGTTGTGTCCAACAAAAGATTTGTGCAAGAAATGACTCTATGATATTTGAAATTGTAGAGGGTCATACAAACAGTCCCCGGGAGGCACTGTTCTTCCTTCCGAATCTAGCGGGAATGGCCGCTGCTTTTGGCGGCTTCGACAGTGAGAGGGCTAACACAACGCAGGTTTAGTGTACATAAAGCCTTCAGCATCCTATGGATTCCTCCTATCCGATCCGTGACCTCCTCATCATCACAAAGCGGAAGGGTATTTTGCTCAAGACTGTACAGTGCATGTACACTTTAGCAACACGCCGCGCCCGTCATGCCCCGTCACCCTGCGCCCACCTCTGCCTCTCAAGTGCGAGCTCGTTGCAGTAATCACCAAATGGCCGGAAATTTTCATGCAGCAGCTTGGTCCAACGCTCAGAGTACCACCAGCCTTCGAACTGAGCTTTAGTGCAATCGCAGTACTCTGGATAAAAGCTCCCAGTCTATAATACCGACAATCTGCCAGCCTTTGATCCCATCCATTCGCGTGACTCGATCAACGAGAATATTCCTTAAATTCAGATCGGCATGCGTAAAGGTAATCTTATGCCCTCTCCGGGATGGGTCATCTGGATACCGTAAATATTGGCTAAAGGCTACTTCATCGTCAAAGGTTCCAATAGGTTCAGCGCAACAAACCCTAGGGTCTCTACCAGCTTTGCCGAGAGAGTTGCAAATCTTGCCGCCTTCCTCTTGCAGTGGGGGGATGACTCGCAATTGTGCCACGTAATCCTGCATCTGAGTAACAAACTTGCGGCCATCCCTATCGGAGAACATGCTCATCGCGTCGGTAAAGGGAACGCCTGGCAGACGTGATGTTAGCAAGAAGCCGTTTTCACAGCTGTGTTCAGTTACCTCATCTCCCTCAGTGTCGGATAGATCTGACTTATAGACTATGCTCGGGACATATATTAGATCTAAGCTCTGACAACCGGGATTGTTGTGTACTGATGGACCATTGTCAGCGCGTTTGAATCGTTCTGGATGCCTCCTACAATTCTCGTAGACTTAAGATAGAGGCCAACGGGAAGACGCTGGACAGAAAAGGAATT